GGATGGATGGATGGATGCATGGATGGATGGATGGATGGATGCATGGATGCATGGATGGATGGATGGATGGATGCATGGATGGATGGATGGATGGATGGATGGATGGATGCATGGATGGATGCATGGATGGATGGATGGATGGATGGATGGATGGATGGATGGATGGATGGATGGATGGATGGATGTTCCTTTCCTATACACTCTGTGTTTATAAAAGGACAATAAAAGTTGTCTAACTCTAACGAAATGGAAACTATAAAAAAATATATAATAATCAGAAGCATACCCTTGACACAATAACTTCCAAATGTAGAATGGCGAATTTGAAAATAATGTAATTCAAATATTTTATGAAAGGAAATAATCAAGTAATAAACTTAGAAAATAAGATACATTAGTGACAATAGAAAAGAAATCAAACCTTTTTATAAATTATTTCCCAAAGTATATTTAATTAATGACACAAATATATAGTCCTGACTTACAGGTGAAGATGTTCAGTCAGGATCAATCATCTTAGTGTTTAGAAAAAAGCTTAATTAAGTTAAAAAATGCTGCTTTTAATCTAAGCTGCCAACCGTAGAAGACACTGAAGCTCGGTCTGTCCATCAGTTTGGTAAAGAAATATTTTAGTGGCTCTGCTGAGAGCAGCTAAATGCTACTAACTGATACATGGCTACCAGCAGACAGTTTCCATCCATTCAGAACCAGAGCGGAGGCGGCTCACTGGGGCTCTGGATGATATTTGCTGCAACTCTGGACAAAGAGACACGGGGGCCATTTCTGACTATAGAGGAAGTCGGATAACAAGGTTAGGATTTTCAGGATTCTTTTAGGAATTGTTTCATTTCTTCTGTTGCGCTGTAGCAGCTCTGCTCTGACAGCATGAGGCATCAACGTTCCAGAGACCCGACCGGCTGGTTCAGATTGGACAGACCTCTGCGTCGTCACTGATTAAAGACTAAAACCATCAGCTGTGTTCTTCACCTGCAGGTCACATTCAGGACATAAAAATCAAGATTTCTGATCTGGATTAAAGAGGACAGGATGTGGTGCCGCCCCTCAGGAGCAACCGGCACGCTGAGCTCACCCTCCAGCTCTAAACTGAATCACGATTCAACCAAAGTCCAACTGGATCAACCAGAACCCGACCACTACTGAGTCCAGAGACCCCCACAGGGAATCAGTCGGCTCGCAGTCTGTAACGGAAGCGAACGTCGGAGGAGGGAAGCAGGATTCCCAGTCCGGCTCTGCTGGAGTCCAGGCGGGGCCGGTTCTGCCCGTCCTCCAGCTGCAGGTCAAAGTAAAGCAGCAGCAGAGAGACAAACTGCTTGATCTCGTTAATAGCGAAGTATCGTCCAGGACACATGGACGAGCCCGAGCCGAACGGCATCAGGTAGTAGCGGAGCTTCTGTCCGTCCTTGAAGAAGTCCGTCTTCTCTCTGCCGTCCTGGACGAAGCGGTCGAACCGGAACGTCTGAGGAAACAGGAGGAAGACGGATGAAATCTGGACCAGGTTCTGAAAAGAGGTTTAAATCTGGAGAAGTTCAGGAGGACGTTAGGTCCAGTCTAAGGGAGCATTTGAACACATTAAGGTTGTGGTTCTAAACAATTCTATTCAGTTTATTTCTATAGCTCCAATTCACATCATGTCATCTCAGGTCACTTTCCAGTTCACCAGATCATCCAGTCAGATTGATTCAAAGTTTTCTATCTAAGGAAAACCAGCTGATTGCATCGACTCATTGACTCTTCAGCAATCCCTCACACTAAGCATGCTTGTAGCGACAGTGGAGAGGAAAAACTCCCTTTGAACAGGAAGAAACCTCCAGCAGAACCAGGCTCAGTGTGAGCGGCCATCTGCTGAGGCCCACTGGGGTTCAAGGAGACAGAAGCAGACATAGAAAAAGAAGCATAGATACAAAAGGCAACTGTCAACCAGCTCCACAGGCGGCCCCGTCCAGGAAACACACAGCCAGGCAGACGAGCTCCGAGCCAGCTCCCATGTCAGAGGATGAAGAGAGCACATCCAGTTAGTCACAGTCAGAGAAACAGGACTACACTGGAAAACACGCTGATCTCCAACATCTAGAAACAAAGGTGTTGATGGCAGCAGCACAGCTGATATTTCTCTCCAGGATGGAGTCACAGCCAAACAGGAACAGACCAGATGAAGCTACTATGAGAAAAAGCAGAGAGAGCAGAACGTTAGAGATTGAACTAACAGATTCTGCAGAGTGGGAGAATAGAGATAGAATGAAGCAGAATGATGAAAAAGGGGTCCCTATGTCCTCCAGCAGTCTAAGCCTATAGCAGCAGAACTATAGAGATAGATCAGGATAACCTGAGCCACTCTAACTAGAAGCTTTATCAAAAAGGAAAGTTTTAAGCCTAGCCTTAAAAGTAGACAGGGTGTCTGCCTCACAGACTAAAACTGGTAGTTGGTTCCACAGGAGAGGAGCCTGAGAACTAAAAGATCTGCCTCCCATTCTACTTTTAGAAATTCTAGGAACCACTAGTAAACCTGCAGATTGAGAGCGAAGTGCTCTGTTAGGAACATAAGGAACAATCAGATCTCTGATATCAGATGGAGCTTGGCCATTTAAGGCTTTAAATGTGAGAAGGAGGATTTTAAATTCTATTCTGGATTTAACAGGAAGCCAATGAAGAGAAGCCAGGATAGGAGAGATATGATCTCTCTTTTTCATTTCAGAATTGTGTTATATTCATTTGACTCTTGGAATTTAAAAAAACTCAACTTTTTCTTATTTCTGAGGAAAACGTCTGCAATGGTGGATCAAAGGGACTCATCTGGTCCAAACCAACTGAACTTCCTCTGTCTCCCTAAAGTGTTTCAGTCCATTTTTTTCTAAAGTGTTAAAACACTAAGGTGAGACGTGAAACATCTGCTAGAACCTCAGGAAGTTTCCTTCTACTGAGGGCAGTTCAGCTAGAAATCCAGCAGGTGGCAGCAGAACATCCCCAAAGCCAACATGAACCATAAGACGTCCTAGCAGATGAAGCCCCTGCTACCTCTGGATAAATGGCGGCCCTCACGGCGGTACCTGGGGCTCCTCATAGATTTCGGGGTCCAGATGGAGACTCTGAGGGTACAGGGCGATGACGTCTCCTTTCCTGACGCCCACCGATCGGTCGTTGTCCAGCCGCAGACTGAAGTCCTCCTGAGCCACCCGAATGTTCATGGAGGCTGAGGAAAGGCGGAGGCTCTCGTTGATGGAGCTCTCTGAGAACGGAGAGCGCTCGTTATCGACTGGTTCACCAACGTCAGCAGAGAATCAGAGAAAGCCTACTGACCCAGAAAGATAAGCTTATCCAGCTGCTCTTTGCTGAGCAGGACGTCCCTGCTGGCGTCAAACTCGACGCCATCGTCCCTCAAGACGTCCAGGATCTCCTGACGGACCACCTTCAGCGCTTGGGGCTGGCTCACCAGGAAGTAGGTGGCCCAGAAGGTAGCAGGAAGCGTGTTGCCGACGGACGCCCACAGGATGGCAAAGTGATGAGCTGGAGGTCAGAACCAGTTAAACTCAGGTTTAGTCTCTGCGGTTGAATCTAATCTCTGATGGTTTAATGATCCGGTACATCCCCCCGCCTCTAACTGGATTAACATGGATGACCTACCAGCTTTATCCACGTCCTTCAGCTTATCGTGCTGCTCAAACAGCTCCGACCTTCTCTGGATGAACTGGGAGGTGTTGGACCAGTGGGACATCTTCTGCGGCAGGAAGTAGGAGATCAGCTTCTGGCGGATGGCTTTGGTCCGGCCCAGCAGCCAGATGGGAATCTGAGCGATGAGGAACGGGAACATGCTATCGAACTTGTTGAAGTCCCTCCTCAGATCGTCCATCCCTCGGTGGCGGACGCCGCTCGCCGGTTTGCCATAGATGGTCAGGAAGGTGGCCTCGAACATGACGGAGGAGCAGAACTCGTACAGGCCGCCGCTCCTCCAGTCGCCCGCCCGGTCCAGATGGTCTTGACGGAAAACCAGCATCAGGTTACCCATCATGCTCTCTGTCAGCGGCTCGAGGTGATCTCCCTGCAGCAGCTGGAAGGAGCGCTTGATCTGCTCCCAAAGGCCGTGGAAGGTGTTGCCCAGGACGGGCGGGTAGCCGAATGTGACGGGAGCCACCTTATCGGTGAACTCGTGGAAGTCCAGCTGCCGGCCCTGCTTGATGATGCTGGGGTAGAGGAGGGGGTTCATGATGAAGGTCATGTATTTACCTGCAGGAAGAAGGCAGAGCACACCTTAATCCTCCATCTTTAATCCCCCTCTGCTCCAAACCTTTAATGGGATGGAGGCCAAACCAGTTCATCCCATTTAGACTCTACCTCTAACAGTTGGTTTGAAATAGTTCGGAGCTACTGCTAACTGGTTTGCTGCTGAGGCGTGACGGCAGTATGTGTCATTTCCTAAAACTGTTCATGATCATATTTCTTGTTTTTCCGCATACTTTGCACTTTCTCTGAAAGTCAGAATTTTGTCATTAAAGTCAAAATGTTGTGAAAAAAGTCAGAATTCTAAGATAAAGTAAGGCTTTTGACCCGTTTCCCACCGAAATGACGTTTTTTATTTTTATTTTGGTGACCCTTATCCTCTTCCGTTTTTTTCCCCATATTTCTAGACAGTTTACAGAATAAGGGAGGAATTTGTGAAATGTAAACCTTTAAAATGCTTTATGTCAAACTGCTGCAGGTTTTGTATTGTTTTCCTTTAAATGTGTTTTTTTTAACGCTGTTTCCAGCTCAGTTTAATCAGCAGATTCCAGGCAGTGAGAGCGAGCTGATCAGAGCCAACATGAATCATCTTGTCTTCATTCCTCCTGCTTTGCTCAGCGCTCAGCTTTCCCACTGTCTGTTTCAGAACCAACCTGCGATCTGGACCGTGAACACGTCTCCATACTTCCTCTTATGTTTCTCTAGAAACCCGTGAGCATCCTTCCCGAACTCCAGAGCTTTCCCGATGAAGGGGATCCAGCCTTTGATCAGAGGAGGTTCATCCGGCTTCCTGCAACACAAACAGAGGCGCTGCCTTTAATTTCTCTGGGATTAGCGGAGGTTTGGATCTCAGCCCAGAACTTTCTCCTCCCACGTTAATGATTCCCTGGATGAACTTTAGACTATCAGCAGATCTGTTCCCTGGAACCGGAGCAGAAATGGAACAAAGTCCCACATTGTTGTGCAACAAAAGATGAAACCCAGTCCTCCTGCGCCGAGCCGATCCGAAAACCGACGCCTGAACTCTACTTCTGAGCTACTCTGCTGCAGGGAAACCGGACCTGGGTTCTGAAACACATTTAGAACCTGGACTCTGAAAGTGAGGTTCTGAAACACCATGAGGTTCTAAAACACCATGAGGTTCTGAAACACCAAGAGGTTCTGAAACACCATGAGGTTCTAAAACACCATGAGGTTCTGAAACACCAAGAGGTTCTGAAACACCATGAGGCTCTGAAACACCATGAGGTTCTAAAACACCAAGAGGTTCTGAAACACATTTAGAACCTGGACTCTGAAACAACATGAGGTTCTGAAACACCATGAGGTTCTGAAACACCATGAGGTTCTGAAACACCATGAGGCTCTGAAACACCAAGAGGTTCTGAAACACATTTAGAACCTGGACTCTGAAACAACATGAGGTTCTGAAACACCATGAGGTTCTGAAACACCAAGAGGTTCTGAAACAACATGAGGTTCTAAAAACACCATGAGGTTCTGAAACACCATGAGGTTCTGAAACACCAAGAGGTTCTGAAACAACATGAGGTTCTGAAACACCATGAGGTTCTGAAACACCATGAGGTTCTGAAACAACATGAGGTTCTGAAACAACATGAGGTTCTGAAACACCATGAGGTTCTGAAACACCAAGAGGTTCTGAAACAACATGAGGTTCTGAAACACCATGAAGTTCTGAAACACCATGAGGCTCTGAAACACCATGAGGCTCTGAAACACCATGAGGTTCTAAAACACCATGAGGTTCTAAAACACCATAAGGTTCTGAAACAACATGAGGTTCTGAAACAACATGAGGTTCTAAAACACCATGAGGTTCTGAAACACCATGAGGTTCTAAAACACCATGAGGTTCTAAAACACCATAAGGTTCTGAAACAACATGAGGTTCTGAAACAACATGAGGTTCTGAAACACCATGAGGTTCTGAAACACCATGAGGTTCTGAAACAACATGAGGTTCTAAAACACCATGAGGTTCTAAAACACCATAAGGTTCTGAAACAACATGAGGTTCTGAAACAACATGAGGTTCTAAAACACCATGAGGTTCTGAAACACCATGAGGTTCTAAAACACCATAAGGTTAACACCATGACATTCTGAAACACCATGAGGTTCTAAAACACCATGAGGTTCTAAAACACCATGAGGTTCTGAAACACCATGAGGTTCTAAAACACCATGAGCTTCTAAAACACCATGAGGTTCTGAAACACCATGAGGTTCTAAAACACCATGAGGCTCTGAAACACCATGAGGTTCTGAAACACCATGAGGTTCTGAAACACCATGAGGTTCTAAAACACCATGAGGTTCTGAAACACCATGAGGTTCTGAAACACCATGAGGTTCTGAACACCATTAGGTTCTGAAACACCATGAGGTTCTGAAACACCATGAGGTTCTGAAACAACATGAGGTTCTGAACACCATTAGGTTCTGAAACACCATGAGGTTCTAAAACACCATGAGGCTCTGAAACACCATGAGGTTCTGAAACAACATGAGGTTCTGAACACCATTAGGTTCTGAAACACCATGAGGTTCTGAAACACCATGAGGCTCTGAAACACCATAAGGTTCTGAACACCATGAGGTTCTGAAACACCATGAGGTTCTGAAACACCATGAGGTTCTGAAACAACATGAGGTTCTGAACACCATTAGGTTCTGAAACACCATGAGGTTCTGAAACACCATGAGGCTCTGAAACACCATAAGGTTCTGAACACCATGAGGTTCTGAAACAACATGAGGTTCTGAAACACCATGAGGTTCTGAAACAACATGAGGTTCTGAACACCATTAGGTTCTGAAACACCATTAGGTTCTGAAACACCATGAGGTTCTGAAACAACATGAGGTTCTGAACACCATTAGGTTCTGAAACACCATGAGGTTCTGAAACACCATGAGGCTCTGAAACACCATAAGGTTCTGAACACCATGAGGTTCTGAAACAACATGAGGTTCTGAAACACCATGAGGTTCTGAAACACCAAGAGGTTCTGAAACAACATGAGGTTCTAAAAACACCATGAGGTTCTGAAACACCATGAGGTTCTGAAACAACATGAGGTTCTGAAACAACATGAGGTTCTGAAACACCATGAGGTTCTGAAACACCAAGAGGTTCTGAAACAACATGAGGTTCTGAAACACCATGAAGTTCTGAAACACCATGAGGCTCTGAAACAACATGAGGTTCTGAAACACCATGAGGTTCTGAAACACCATGAGGTTCTGAAACAACATGAGGTTCTAAAACACCATGAGGTTCTAAAACACCATAAGGTTCTGAAACAACATGAGGTTCTGAAACACCAAGAGGTTCTGAAACAACATGAGGTTCTGAAACACCATGAAGTTCTGAAACACCATGAGGCTCTGAAACACCATGAGGCTCTGAAACACCATGAGGTTCTAAAACACCATGAGGTTCTAAAACACCATAAGGTTCTGAAACAACATGAGGTTCTGAAACACCAAGAGGTTCTGAAACAACATGAGGTTCTGAAACACCATGAAGTTCTGAAACACCATGAGGCTCTGAAACACCATGAGGCTCTGAAACACCATGAGGTTCTAAAACACCATGAGGTTCTAAAACACCATAAGGTTCTGAAACAACATGAGGTTCTGAAACAACATGAGGTTCTAAAACACCATGAGGTTCTGAAACACCATGAGGTTCTAAAACACCATGAGGTTCTAAAACACCATAAGGTTCTGAAACAACATGAGGTTCTGAAACAACATGAGGTTCTGAAACACCATGAGGTTCTGAAACACCATGAGGTTCTGAAACAACATGAGGTTCTAAAACACCATGAGGTTCTAAAACACCATAAGGTTCTGAAACAACATGAGGTTCTGAAACAACATGAGGTTCTAAAACACCATGAGGTTCTGAAACACCATGAGGTTCTAAAACACCATAAGGTTAACACCATGACGTTCTGAAACACCATGAGGTTCTAAAACACCATGAGGTTCTAAAACACCATGAGGTTCTGAAACACCATGAGGTTCTAAAACACCATGAGCTTCTAAAACACCATGAGGTTCTGAAACACCATGAGGTTCTAAAACACCATGAGGCTCTGAAACACCATGAGGTTCTGAAACACCATGAGGTTCTGAAACACCATGAGGTTCTAAAACACCATGAGGTTCTGAAACACCATGAGGTTCTGAAACACCATGAGGTTCTGAACACCATTAGGTTCTGAAACACCATGAGGTTCTGAAACACCATGAGGTTCTGAAACAACATGAGGTTCTGAACACCATTAGGTTCTGAAACACCATGAGGTTCTAAAACACCATGAGGCTCTGAAACACCATGAGGTTCTGAACACCATGAGGTTCTGAAACACCATGAGGTTCTGAAACACCATGAGGTTCTGAAACAACATGAGGTTCTGAAACACCATGAGGTTCTGAACACCATTAGGTTCTGAAACACCATGAGGTTCTGAAACACCATGAGGTTCTGAAACAACATGAGGTTCTGAACACCATTAGGTTCTGAAACACCATGAGGTTCTGAAACACCATGAGGCTCTGAAACACCATAAGGTTCTGAACACCATGAGGTTCTGAAACACCATGAGGTTCTGAAACACCATGAGGTTCTGAAACAACATGAGGTTCAGAACACCATTAGGTTCTGAAACACCATGAGGTTCTGAAACACCATGAGGCTCTGAAACACCATAAGGTTCTGAACACCATGAGGTTCTGAAACAACATGAGGTTCTGAAACACCATGAGGTTCTGAAACAACATGAGGTTCTGAACACCATTAGGTTCTGAAACACCATTAGGTTCTGAAACACCATGAGGTTCTGAAACAACATGAGGTTCTGAACACCATTAGGTTCTGAAACACCATGAGGTTCTGAAACACCATGAGGCTCTGAAACACCATAAGGTTCTGAACACCATGAGGTTCTGAAACAACATGAGGTTCTGAAACACCATGAGGTTCTGAAACAACATGAGGTTCTGAACACCATTAGGTTCTGAAACACCATGAGGTTCTGAAACAACATGAGGTTCTGAAAACCATTGGTTCAAAACCCCCATAGGTTCTGCAACACGAGGTTCTAAACCCTTTGGGCTCTGAAAACCTTAAAGGCTAAACCCTGAGGTTCTGAAACAACAAAGGTTCGCACCATGGGTTCTAAAAACACCATGGGGTTTTCTAAACAAAGAGGTTCTAAAAACACCATGAGGCTTAAAACACCATTGGGTTCAAAAACACCATGAGGTTTAAAACACCATGAGCTCTGAAACACGGTTCATGGCCGGGTTTCTAAAAACAGTGTGTCTCGGGTTTTTTTGAAGTGGTTCTCCCGGAGGGAAAAAAAGTGTTAATCGGACGGTTCGGTAGTTCTAACAGGACAAAATTGTCCCTAGCGGGGCGGCCCCCAGTTTATTCTGAACCTCTCATCGAGGGTGTGATCTGGGTCGCCCGAAATGGGCCCAAAACAGAAGAAACAGACTAAACCACAACATTATGGAGCAGACCATGAGCCGCCTCCTCCTCCTCCTCCTCCTCCTCAGGGTCTCTGAGTTGCTGGAGCCCGGGTCCCACTGATGGAGGACCTCCTGCTTCCGGCCATTATGCTTCAGTCAGAGGAATGTGGAAGCATCCTGAAGCCCCGCCTCCCTGCAGCAGAGCTGCCGTCCAGCGGTCCAAACAGGAAGTGGTTTGTTTGGTAAAACGGGGGGACCTCATCTTGTGGAGATGAGTCCCAAAAAGGTCATCTGTGCTGACCCATCGGGCCCGATTTGGAACAAATGCTGCGTCTGAGGCCTGGGTGGATCCTGGCCCGGTCTGGGCTTCTGGAAGGCTCCCAGTAACCTGATAAAATCCAACCATCAGCTGCTGAGTCACGGTTCCTCAGATGCAATGAGTCCGGAAGCGTTGTCATGGTGGTCAGGGTTACCGTGGTTACTTCCCCTTTTTTGTTTACAGCGGGGGCTGCAGACAGCAGCCTAGATGAGATGATGTGATGATTTAAAATCCGAACATCTGGGGTGAGAATTTTTTGGAAAACCAAATAAAAAACCGCAAAAGGGTTTCCCTCTATATATATAATCAACCCAAAAACCATCCATTCACCCTCTTATCACCATCCTCCTCCCTATCCTCCTTTTCATCATCACCACATCCACCACCATCTAAATTCATTCCTCCCCACCCCAAACTCTTCAAACACCCAAAACCCAAAACCCTCATCCAAAACACCTATCATCCACATACCATTCATCCCCCATTCCTTCCATCATACCTTTCCTCAACCCTCATCAATTTTCCATCACATCCAACCTCATCCATTCCTCCCTCTTCATCATCTCTCCTAATCCTCAATCCTCTCCCCCCATTCATCATCATTCCTCATTCTTCCACCATCCCTCCCATTTCCCTTCATTCCCCTCCTCCTCCTCTCTTTTATCCTTTCCCTCATTCCATCCATATCATCATCCCCTTCCCTCCATCACTTCCCCCCCCACATCTCCCTCCATCCATCCATACATCCCTCCATTTACCATCATCTCATCCTCAAATCCAAACCTATCCTATTTTAAACCCTCCATCCCTTCCCTCTCCATCATTCTTCATCCTTTCCCTCAACATCAATCCAATCCTCCCCCAAAACCTTCCCTTTTCCTACATATTACCATTTCCCCTCCATTCAACTTCATCATCCTCCTCCAAATTTTCCACCCCTCCTCATTCACCCTTTTTTCTCCAACACAAAACATCCATCCATCCATAATCCTTTATTCATCCATCCCCCTCATCCCCACAACCCATCTCATTCATCCATCCATTTATTTCCTCATCATATCCCTTCATCCCTCCACATCCTCATTCATCCATCACTCTCCATCCATCCACCATCCTCTTCATCCATCTAATCCTCAAATCATCCCTCATCCATCCATCTCATCATCATTCCCTTCATACCCATCCTCATTCATCCCCATCCTTTATCCTCCATCCATCCATTATCATTCATTCATCCATCCATCCATCCATCCATCATCATCATCCATCCATCCATCATCATTTTTTCATCCATCCATTCATCCATCACCATTCATTCATCCATCATCCATCCATCCATCATCCATCTATCAATCATCATTCATTCATTCATTCATCCATCCATCCATCATCCTTCATTCGTCCATCATCCATCCATCCATCCATCCATCATCCATCCATCCATCATTCGTCCATCATCCATCTATCCATCCATCATCATTCATTCATCCATCCATCCATCATCATTCATCCATCATCCATCCATCCATCCATCCATCCATCATCATTCATTCATCCATCCATCATCCATCCATCATCATTCCTCCATCAATCCATCATCCTTCATTCGTCCGTCCATCCATCCATCCATCCATCATCATTCATCCATCCATCCATCCATCATCCATCCATCCATCATCATTCATCCATCCATCCATCCATCATCCTTCATTCGTCCATCCATCCATCCATCATCCATCCATCCATCCATCATCATTCATCCATCCATCCATCCATCCATCCATCATCCTTCATTCGTCCATCCATCCATCCATCCATCCATCATCATTCATTCATCCATCCATCATCCATCCATCATCATTCCTCCATCCATCCATCATCCTTCATTCGTCCATCCATCATCATTCCTCCATCCATCCATCATCCTTCATTCGTCCATCCATCCATCCATCCATCCATCCATCATCATTCCTCCATCCATCCATCATCCTTCATTCGTCCATCCATCCATCCATCCATCATCATTCATTCATCCATCCATCATCCATCCATCATCATTCCTCCATCCATCCATCATCATTCTTCCATCCATCCATCATCCTTCATTCGTCCATCCATCCATCCATCCATCCATCATCATTCATCCATCCATCTATCATCCATCCATCCATCCATCCATCCATCATCATTCATTCATCCATCCATCCATCATCCATCCATCCATCATCATTCCTCCATCTATCCATCCATCCATCGTCCATCCATCCATCATCATTCCTCCATCCATCCATCATCCATCCATCCATCATCCTTCATTCGTCCATCCATCCATCCTCCATCCATCCATCATCCTTCATTCGTCCATCATCCATCCATCCATCCATCCATCATCATTCATTCATCCATCCATCATCCATCCATCATCATCCATCCATCCATCTATCCATCCATCATCATTCATCCATCCATCCATCCATCATCCATCCATCCATATTCATCCATCATCCATCCATCCAACCATCCATCATCATTCATTCATCCATCCATCATCCATCCATCATCATTCATCCATCATCCATCCATCCATCCATCCATCATCATTCATTCATCCATCCATCCATCATCCATCCATCCATCATCCATCCATCCATCCATTCATCCATCCATCATCCATCCATCCAACCATCCATCATCATTCATCCATCCATCCATCCATCCATCATCCATCCATCCATCCATCATCATTCATCCATCCATCCATCCATCCATCCATCATCATTCATCCATCATCCATCCATCCATCCATCCATTCATCCATCCATCCATCCATCCATCATCATTCATCCATCCATCCATCCATCCATCATCCATCCATCCATCCATCCATCCATCCATCCATCCATCATCCATCCATCCATCCATCCATCCATCCATCCATCCATCATCATTCATCCATCCATCCATCCATCCATCCATCCATCCAACCATCCATCCATCCATCCATCCATCCATCATCATCCATCCATCCATCCATCCATCCATCCATCCATCCATCATCCTTCATTCGTCCATCATCCATCCATCCATCCATCCATCCATCCATCCATCCATCCATCCATCCATCCATCCATCAGTAGATCAGCCAATGATGAGAACTTCTGGTTCTGGTAGGATACAGACTGGATCAGAACCGAACTTCATAAGGTCCAGCTCACAGAGGATCAAAGATCAAAGCTACAGAACTTTTCCTTTGTCCGAACAGAGTTCCTGTCACTCATTTGGAAGCATTACCGAACCGAACCGAACCGTGAGGAGACTAACCTGGTTCTTCCGTAACCCATGAGGATCCAAACCAGGAGGCCGATCACAGCACTGAGGAGGACGAGCAGCACCAACGACATGCTTCTGCTTCGGTTTGCTGGGAGTGCGAACTGGTCTGATCAGGGAGGAGACTGCCTGCCCTTCACAATAAGACTCACCTTCACAATAAGACTCACCTTCACAATAAGACTCACCTTCACAATAAGACTCACCTTCACAATAAGAGCACAGCATTCAGGGAATGATCAGGACCACACCAAAACCCGACCAGAACTGCACCAGAACCTTACCAGGAGCAGACCAGAATCAGACCAGAACCTTACCAAAACCCAACCAGAACCCAAGCACAACCCAACCAGAACCAGATCAGAACCTGACCAGAACCCGACCAGAATCCAACCACAACCTGACTAGAACCAGACCAGACCCTGACCAGAACCCAACCAGAACCCGACCAGAACCAGTACACAACCTGAACAGAACCCGACCAGCACCAGTACACAACCTGACCAGAACCTAAACCAGAAGCTGACCAGAACCAGACCAGAACCTGACCAGAACCAGTACACAACCTGAACAGAACCCGACCAGCACCAGTACACAACCTGACCAGAACCTAAACCAGAAGCTGACCAGAACCAGACCAGAACCTGACCAGAACCAGTACACAACCTGAACAGAACCCGACCAGCACCAGTACACAACCTGACCAGAACCTAAACCAGAAGCTGACCAGAACCAGACCAGAACCTGACCAGAACCTAAACCAGAAGCTCTGGTCTGCCAACAGATCCACCAAGATCCTTTTGATTGTTTTAAAATGCTTAAATGGCTCCTTTATAACCCACTTGTTTGCACAGGCTTTCTTTTTTTAATTAAACATTATTTATGTTCTGTTTCGTTGTTCTTTCAATATAGTTTATTGTATTCCTTGCTTTTATATGTTTGCTGTGAAGCAGTCTGGGCAGCAGTGTTGTTGTGAATGTGATATTAAAGTTGACCCTGAGGACCAGCATAAGCAGCTAGAGAGATAACATCTCAGAGTCCAGCAGAAGGTCCAGTTTAATGGTTCTGATGCATTAACAGTAAATCTGACCGGGATGGATCAGAATCTGGACCCAGGATGTCGCAGCGTCTGGTTCTGGTTCTGATCCAAACAGGGTGAAAGAGATGGTTCTAATTAGCAGCTCACTGAACCAGGAACAAAGAACCCTGATTAGACCGTTCTGGGAAATCATCTCCCCCGCTGAGTTCCTGGCAGTGAAACCAGTTCAGACTGGGCCCAGTCAGCATGATGTGGGCTGGTTTCTGCAGAACTCCCTGAGATCAGATCAGGGGATTCCCTGCACAGAACTTTCACTTTCTGAGGTTTGGGATGAGCAACGTTCCTGTGGTTCTGAGGACCCAAAAGTTCCCGCTCTGTGGGCTGAGTAGGGGGTCCGGTAGGGGGACAGCAGGAGAACATCTGCAGAACTTTAATCTGAAGGATCAGTCCTGGGCGGGTTCTGAGGATCCACAGTCTGGTTCTGCTTTTAGACGGCTCCAGTCTGACCCACAGTGACCCTCTGAAGCTGAACAACAGCAGCATTGATCCAATCGGACCGCCTCGGTCTCACAGAACACAGGCGGGTCTGTTCTCAGTCTCACCAGAATGGACCGGTTCAGAAGGCAGCTGGTCCCGAGTCAGAGCTGAAAGAGGGGTCCAAATGATGAGGGGCCTCTAGGTTCTGAACACCACTGACCCAAAACAGCCACTAGAACTGAACCTGAAGGTTCTGCTGTGAAATAGGCCAGTAGTTCTTGGACCGAGGGTGAGGAACCTGTTAGGCCCAGAATTATTCCCATACCCATCGCCTTTACAGTCCAAATATTTCCATAGAATCAAGAAGTCAGATCAGCTCGGTTCTGAGGCGCCCCCTGCTGGTGGAGGTTGGGTATAGAACCTTCCATGGTTCTCCCCCATCCTGCTGCTGATAAACAGGCTTCTGTAAAACCAGAGGACATCCTAAGGAGGTGAGGCTGGATCAGAACCATGAGGGACAGCAGAGCTCTCAGGACGGGGACGCACCAGGCCAAGTTCTGATGTGGTTCTGGTTCCTCCTGTTGGAAAGTTCTGGGCCTATTGTAAAGTTCAATATGGAAGTTATGTCCCCTAAAAAGCTGATGCGCCTCAGGGCTTCCTCACGGTTCTTTTCCTGGGAGCAAGTTATTTACTACTCTTAACTCAAACTGGGTAAAACCATAAAAAAGATTAAAAAAGGACAATAAAAACAGGAGTAAAAAGTAACAGAGTTTATTCCAGATCAGGTCGTTACAGGACAGAGAAAAATGCTTGGAGCTGCACAGCTGTGAGCTCAAAAATCACGTCCGCGAGCGTCCGGCAAAGTTTGAGCCCCGAACAAGGTCATCTCCTGCTTCTTATAGCTCATGAGTCTATGTGTTGCATCAGGTGGATGCTCAGCTGTCCATATCAGAAACTGACACGCCATCCATGCCCTGACCTTCATGCATCTTGTCTCTATGCCTCAGGATTACACATAGCTCTCCTTTATCTGTCCGGCTCCAAGATGTGCCCATATCCTGTGTGTTTCTAAAGACAGGAAGGCTGTCCTGATTAGATGACCTCCGTACACACCGTGACATCCACAATGTGAAGGAAGGCCTTCTGCTCTGTCTAATCTGACTAACAAAATACCAGTGCACATGATGTATAAAGAATTAACCTAACAACTCCCCCTGATAAGTTACCGTTTTTACAGGTAACTTTAAACACAGAAAGCGGCACATCTTTGAAGGACCAGGTGACTCAGAGAGCATCTAGAATTGATGATCTATCATTAATTAGAGATCAAAGTAATCACAATCAAAGCTTCACAGACCAAATGTTCTCACTCAAGACCACAGTTTCAGCATTTAACTACAATTTGGGTGTCATCTAATAAAAGGAAAGCTGTTTTAGTTCCCTATGCGCACATTATATTAATTTACCTTAGACTAGGTAACCTGAGCCTATAAATCTAATAAGGCCAAATTCATCTACTCTCACTCCCACCAGGAGATCATGGAGAACCCAGAGGTTCTCCATGATCTCCTGGTCCTGGATATCAGAACCTGACAGACCAAATAGAGATGAACACTTTAATAAAATGAGGAACCATTTGGGGTCCAGATGGGCCACCATTAGAATCTGATCTTTACCTCCTTCACTAGTTTTTTTTCTTTCTAAGTAGAACCCCCAGAAGGAGGCTAAAGGTTCTGGATTCAGCATGTGACTGTTTTTGGACCAGGAGGTTCTGCCAGGTATCACTGCTCCATTTTTAAGGTCCAAGACCAAAGTTCCCCACTAGATCCTCCACTTCTAGATGGTTTTCTAGATGTTCTCCAACCACAGCCCTCATCATGAAGACCAGATGGACTTCAGATCCAACAGAACCGTAGCCCTCACATTCTATTAAGGTTCTGACAGAACCATCTCACCAGTCCACCCAGTTTCAGCAGCAGCTCACTGGTACCGACGGACCCGGTTTACATGAATAAAGAAGAAGAGACGGGTTTCAGACTGAACGACTTTATTCACACGCTGCACGCTGAGGAAGAAGAGGAGGAAGGGTTAACATGGTCCAGTCGGAATCAGAAGAAAGAACCGGAACAGTCCGGTTAGAACCTGACAGGACCGGGACTGAACAAAGAACACAGCAGAAAACGGAGTCTGATGGTTCTGGAACTGGATCCTGTTGGCCTGAGTTTCACTGGACCCACCACTGGATCGCTCCTAACCCTTTGGTCAAAGCTGGTCTCCATGGAAACCGTCAAACTGTAGAACTTTGGTTCTAGAGTTTTGATCAGGTCCAAAGTTTTACTTCAAGAATTTCAGGTTTTGGTCTGGAACCAACATTAAACCACAATAAGGATTAGTTGGAAACCAGAACTGAAAATGGGCCAGAAGAGCTGATCTGGACCGGTTCTGATCAAAGGAGTAACAAAGGGGGCGGAGCCAGAAGAATGTTGGTGGCAGAGCAACAATAATCGTTAGGGGTTACGGGTCTAGAAGCAGACAGCAGGAAAAGCCACATCAGGTCAGGAAATCAGTCGAAGCTCCAAGGAAAAGTTTCTGTTCGATTCTGGAAAACTGGGAAGTTTTTTAAACTTTACTGAAATGTTTTCCAGGAACAACTTGGATCGTTTCCTCTTCAAATCTGACAGACGGATTTAACCTTTAAATTCTTGGCAGCTCTCTGATGTTCAGTATGCTCAACAGGAACCGTCTGGTCCAACTGGCTCCCAGTCTGGGCTCCAGGACTGGGAACCAGTGGACAGGTAACATCTGTTCCAGTAAACTTCAAGGCATTCAGTCAGGAAACATGTAAACATGACGACATTTTGCAAACAGGTGATAAACCGGGTCTCTGAGGTGGGTCACGTCTCTAAGTTCTCAGCTAACATCAGATAGAGGTGGTTCTGATCCCAGCCGGACGACTCCAGGGAGGAAAACCGCAGAACTCTCCTGAGGCAAACAGAGAGAAACAGGACCTGAACCTGGGAAAATGGTTAAACACTCAGCAGGACGTTCTGGTCTCATCGTTCCTGATCAGAACCTGCTGCAAACATCAGTTTTATCACTGGGTCCCTCATAGGAGTTAAAAGGAAAACTGGGAAAACCTTTGGGCTTTTTGTTCTGACTCGTTTGTTCTGGTTCCAGCAGAACTTTTCCTGCTCATTAAGACACTCTGGTGTGAGTCCAACAGCTGAGAGTTTTATTCTGGTTCAGCTGGAAGGTTTGCCGCTGGTTCTGGTTCTGAGAGGCAACGGATGGTTTGAACGGAGGAAGGGGACGGCGGTTGGACGAGGCGGGTTCTGTCGGATCACCAGTAGAAGGAGCGGGACAGGAAGTTGGCGGCGGCTCCGAGCCAGCTGGTTCCCTCTTGGCCCGTTCCCATCCGGCTAACTGCCTTGTCGGGTTCTGGAGACGGACTCTCCTCCTCCGGGAGGTACTCTGGCAGGTCCATGTTCTGCTCCACCTGCACAGAACTGCCCTCAGGGAAGTGGATCAGAACCTGGAAACAAAAATAGATCAACTAGGATTAAAGCTGGACCCGAGTCTGTTCAGCCCCACTGCCCTCACACAGGGCAGAGGTCCACATACCTGCTGGTCTTTAATATAACAACATCTCTGTAGCTCAGGTTTAATGGAGGAATAATGAGACAGACCTGGTCTCTAATCACAACTGGAATCAACTTTCTCAAACATTATAGAACTAAGGCTGGACTTCAGTTTATCTATAAAAGCATCTATAGAAGATCTGTTCTTATCCTGAAACAGCTCTGAACCAAACCAGAGAGGGAGCCTCTTTTGAATTTTACATTCAAAATCTAATTTAAGGTTTTTTTTCTTTTTTCCTGCTTTGGTTTCATGATAACAAAAACTTAGCTTAACTTTGTAAAGCTAACTTTTATTTTAAACATCTGTTCAGGGAGATGACCTGAATTTAAAGTTCAACTCAATCCATGACGTGAAGCTGCTTCTAAAACATGTTAGATTTGTTTCTTTATTATTCAATCAAAAAGAAAAATATTTTTCAATAAAAAAATACTTTACAATCAAAGCTAAAAAGGTGTTTGAAGGCAAAAATATAATCAAGAAAAGGAAAAACACATTTGAACGCTTTCTTTGAAAATGTTTTTCTTTGGATAGAAGTGAAGATTTTTAGTTTGAAGCAAATTGTTGATTGAAGTCATGTTTTCTTTTTATTTGGATCACATAATGGGTAGGATATTTATTATTCAATCACAGAATAAATCTCTTTAAACAAAAAATTACTTAAATTAATTAAAAATCCTTCAATGACAATAAAAAGTTTCTCAATCATAGAAAAATGTTTTTCAACGTTACTTCAGTTTAAAGGTTGCTTCAAACAAGAAATCTTCACCTGTATCAAAGAAAGTCAATGTTCAATTGTGTTTTATTGTTAAATAAATACTGATTTTTCAAAAATTAAATATCTGAAAACAGAAAATTTGATAAATTGAGTAAATAGATTTCTGCCCTGTCAGCTTCTTCCAAACACGAGGAAGTACCACCGTCTAAAGGGGCATCAATTGTTGAAAGGGTAGAATTTAAATCGCTGCCCTCTGCTGGTGGTTCTGAGGTAGAGCGGGCATTAAATATGGAAGAGCATCTTTAAAAGATGTAACACGTTTGTCTGATAATGATCTACTGTAATGAAAACATATCCTTGGTTGGAGGGCTCTGTTAGATTAAACTCAGAGTTTATTAAAATATGATTAGAAAGGACAGAGTTATGAGAGGCCATCAGGACATGGTCCAGATTATGATGACCAGGGCGAGTAGGTCAACATACATTTTGATAAGCCCCCACTGGTACGAAAGAAATAGGAAATAGTAATTTATCAGGTGACCTGACCTCTTCTCCGTTCTCCGCCTTCACCACCTGCTGAGCAGTCATGACCTCAGTGGCGGCGATGGCAGACGCCAGCGCCTGGAACACCAAGAGACACACATCGTCAGGGGACCCTTTCACATTGGGACCAATCAGATAAAAAAAAAACAAGAACCAGAAGCCAAAAAATCAAGCTATATTGTATCTATTGATGCACATAAATGACATCGTCAAACATTTTAGTTTACAAGGTAGAAAAATGTATTTCACAAAAATACTGTGATTTTCAGGCACAGAGTAAATATGCCTGGCATTAGGACCCAGAGGAACCATCCCCTGCTCATTCGGAGCAACATGGGAGGAAAATCTGGTTTTGTTTCTGTTTTTAATGTAATTTCCATTTATTCTGAGGATTTAACTTCTCTAATCATTTACTGTAAAGCCTGATTCCTTTATGGAGAAACTTGGTCAGAGTGGACTGTATAGAACCCGCCTCACCTCGGCCTTGAGGTCGGACCGGATCCGGACAATGCATCTCTTCACAGCCATCTGGAAGGTGAAACTTATGACTCCACGGATCTTCAGCAGGGCCTCCTCACAGAGACTCCGCCGACCCTGCAGAGAGGCAGAGCGTCAGAAACCGGCAGCTTTCTCTGCAGCGTTTATCTCTGAAGGTTCTGGAACCGACCGGGTCATCCAGGCCGTCAATCTGCAAGATCACCGTCTTGGCTTTCTTGTTGCTGGAGCCCAAGAAGAACTGAGCTTTTCGTCGGCCACTAACAGGCGCCGCTGCGGCCTCCGTGCTGCCCGCCGCCTGCAGGAGCTCATAGATCTCTGAGGCCAGCAGTTTGGTCTCTCCTGGAGTGGTGGACCTGCAGTAAGGTTCAGATTCATTAGACCTGAACCCACCGGGTCCAACAGTTGGATCAGACCTTAATCGGCCTTAATAGAGCTGATGTCGAATTCTAACACTAAATATGATAACAGACATTAATAGCGGCATATGGCTGAGAGCAGGGATCCTCTCAGCTAGACTGGACCTCTCAGGTTCTACAGTAGAATCTCCGTCCTTCATGTCAGACTAAATAATCTCAACATGTGGGATCTGTCACTCACTTCTGCATAACGTTCTGCAGGCTCAGCATCATTCCAAGCTCTGTCTTCAGCTTCTCCCTGTTGGGTCCACATTCTGCAAGGTATCGAATCGCCTGGAGACACAGAGAGAAGCAATCCATCAGATCCTATAATACTCTGGACCACTCAGGCTTCCTTAGATCATAGATAGCTGTGGGTGAAACTGATCCTCCTGCTGCAGGTATGGACACCATCCACACAGCTCAGACTGATTGGAAAGTGATTGGCCAATCAGAGAAGAGATTCTCTGGTTCTGTTTAGAGTTCTCAGGATACTGAGATCCGAACAGAACATCTAGTTCTACAAGGAGTAAAACTCTACAACCAAAGATATTGGATGAATAGAAGTTGTTTGCAGGAAACCTAAAAAACTGAAATAAATAATGAGAGTCAGTCTGAGCTGGATCAGAACCACCGAGCTGATTACTCACTTCTAAAATCCTCCATCCTGCTGGCTGCTGTGTTTTAGGCCGACCTAAAAGCCACGAGCTTCTGGTGTTTAGAGATCATTCGTCTGGTCTGGGAAACTCATTCAGGTAAAGCTGCAGTTTAAGCTGTTATTAGGAACTAGCAAAGTCAGTCACCATAACCGTAACGTTGGTAATACTTGTTACTATGACAACCTGAGAAATGCTAACAGACCTTTTTAACTTTGACCTGAGGAGATGCTAGCTCAGCTTGTAGTTAAGAGGATACTATAAGATAGGGATGGACAGAGAGGAAGGACTGATGTGAGAGTGAAGCAAAAAGAGATGGAAGGATGATGGATGGATGATGGATGGATGGATGGATGGATGGATGGATGGATGGATGGATGGATGGATAGATAGATGTTGCAGTATCTATAACAACCCAAACACACAGGATTTCAGAATTAGACATCCCCAGTTATTAAAGGAATAGTACACCCAAAACATGATTAGCCTTCATTTTCTACTCACCTCCATGCTGAACAACACTCTGGAGTACTTTTTTGATATCTCAAATGCATCTGGAGATCTGGGAGGCTTCTTGCTGTCTGCTGACATTCAAATAATGGAGGTCTATGGCGCCCGAGGCAGAAAGGTCCATAAAAGTCCACAAAAAACGTGTCAATATTCCTCCATACTGCTCGTCCAATGTATTCCAAGTGTCCTGAGTGGGTAGCGTCCAGAATTTACTCGAAACGAAGTCATTTAGAATGTTTTTAGAGCATAAACAGTAGTGTACAGGATTTCCTGAAAGCGCGCACATGCGCGTTCACGAGTCTACGGAAGCCGGCAGACCAAACCAGATGAAAGTGCGCATTCAGCGTCTGCTCTGCCAATAATGCAAGCGTAGAAGAAGAAATGTGCTGTTTACCTGTGCAAAGAAAGAAACAACGAAAGAAAAATGTCTGAGGACTTCAGTGTTGAGGAAGAGCATGAGTTCTTTGCCGAGCTGAATGCGCACTTTCATCTGGTTTGGTCTGCCCCGGTTTCCGTAGGCTCGTGAACGCGCTTTCAGGAAATCCTGTACACTACTGTTTATGCTCTAAAAACATTCTAAATGACTTCGTTTCGAGTAAATTCTGGACGCTACCCACTCAGGACACTTGGAATACATTGGACGAGCAGTATGGAGGAATATTGACACGTTTTTTGTGGACTTTTATGGACCTTTCTGCCTCGGGCGCCATAGACCTCCATTATTTGAATGTCAGCAGACAGCAAGAAGCCTCCCAGATCTCCAGATGCATTTGAGATATCAAAAAAGTACTCCAGAGTGTTGTTCAGCATGGGGGTGAGTAGAAAATGAAGGCTAATCATGTTTTGGGTGTACTATTCCTTTAATTTCATTCACTCACCAGATGTGAACGCCCTGTTAAAAAGAGGTGATGCAGCCTGATGATATTTACACCGATATTTACACCGTTACTTTTACTAGTAACTAGATACTTTTATTGTGTAATAACTCAGTAACTCAGTTACTTTTTGGGAGGAATAACTAGTAACAATAACTAATTACTTTTTCAAAGTAACGTGCCCAACACTGACGTTAGCAAACCTGAGCTACAGGAAGGAGTAGAAACTCCCATCAGGACTGAGGAGGACTCACCAGCAGGGCGGAGTAGACCACCTGAGGGTTAGGGTGGTCCAAGAACAGAATGAGGCCCGGCAGGCAGCCATGGTCCTCCACGATGGCTCTGCGGTTCATGGGGTCCGAGGCCAGGTCTCTCAGCTGGTTCACCACGGCCAGCGGGTCCGGCTCAGCACTCATGGCTCCTGACAGAGGTGGTGGTGGTGATGGTGGGGGGGTTAATCAGCCATCCAAAGGAAACCTGGAAGAGGAACAGAGGGTTCCTGGATCAGAACCATGAACACCCAGACTCTACTGATCCGGGTCACACAAAGAGAGTTTCTGGTTCTCCTGGTGATTCGGCGCTCAGACCAGTCTGTCTCCAGCTGCTTCTAATTCTGCGCTATGTTCTCTGTTTGTCCAAAGACAGTACCAATGGTTCATAGACAGTACCAATGGTTCATAGACAGTACCAATGGTTCATAGACGGTACCAATGGTTCATAGACGGTACCAATGGTTCATAGACGGTACCAATGGTTCATAGACGGTACCAATGGTTCACAGACAGTACCAATGGTTCATAGACGGTACCAATGGTTCATAGACGGTACCAATGGTTCATAGACGGTACCAATGGTTCACAGACAGTACAGCTGGATCATAGACAGTACCGTTGGATCATAGACAGTACCGCTGGATCATAGACAGTACCGCTGGATCATAGACAGTACCGTTGGATCATAGACAGTACCGCTGGATCATAGACAGTACCGTTGGATCATAGACAGTACCGCTGGATCATAGACAGTACCGTTGGATCATAGACAGTACCGCTGGATCATAGACAGTACCGTTGGATCATAGACAGTACCGCTGGTTCATAGACAGTACCGATGGTTCATAGACAGTACCGCTGGATCATAGACAGTACCGCTGGATCATAGACAGTACCGCTGGGTCATAGACAGTACCAATGGTTCACAGACAGTACCAATGGTTCATAGACAGTACCACTGGTTCACAGACAGTACCACTGGTTCACTGACAGTACCAATGGTTCACAGACAGTACCAATGGTTCACAGACAGCACCGATGGGTCATAGACAGCACCGCTGGATCATAGACAGCACCGCTGGATCATAGACAGCACCGATGGTTCATAGACAGCACCGCTGGTTCATAGACAGTACCGATGGTTCATAGACAGTACCGATGGTTCATAGACAGTACCGCTGGTTCATAGACAGTACCGCTGGTTCATAGACAGTACCGCTGGTTCATAGACAGTACCGCTGGTTCATAGACAGTACCGCTGGATCATAGACAGTACCGCTGGATCATAGACAGTACCGCTGGATCATAGACAGTACCGCTGGGTCATAGACAGTACCGCTGGATCATAGACAGTACCGCTGGATCATAGACAGTACCGCTGGTTCATAGACAGTACCGCTGGATCATAGACAGTACCGCTGGATCATAGACAGTACCGCTGGATCATAGACAGTACCGCTGGATCATAGACAGTACCGCTGGATCATAGACAGCACCGCTGGATCATAGACAGCACCGCTGGATCATAGACAGTACCGCTGGGTCATAGACAGTACCGCTGGATCATAGACAGTACCGCTGGATCATAGACAGTACCGCTGGATCATAGACAGTACCGCTGGGTCATAGACAGCACCGCTGGGTCATAGACAGCACCGCTGGATCATAGACAGCACCGCTGGATCATAGACAGCACCGCTGGATCATAGACAGTACCGCTGGATCATAGACAGCACCGCTGGATCATAGACAGCACCGCTGGATCATAGACAGCACCGCTGGATCATAGACAGTACCGCTGGATCATAGACAGCACCGCTGGTTCATAGACAGCACCGCTGGATCATAGACAGCACCGCTGGATCATAGACAGCACCGCTGGATCATAGACAGCACCGCTGGATCATAGACAGTACCGCTGGATCATAGACAGCACCGCTGGATCATAGACAGTACCGCTGGATCATAGACAGTACTGCTGGATCATAGACAGCACCGCTGGTTCATAGACAGTACTGCTGGATCATAGACAGTACCGCTGGATCATAGACAGCACCGCTGGTTCATAGACAGTACTGCTGGATCATAGACAGTACCGCTGGTTCATAGACAGTACCGCTGGTTCATAGACAGTACCGCTGGATCATAGACAGCACCGCTGGATCATAGACAGTACCGCTGGTTCATAGACAGTACTGCTGGATCATAGACAGCACCGCTGGATCATAGACAGTACCGCTGGATCATAGACAGCACCGCTGGATCATAGACAGTACCGCTGGATCATAGACAGTACTGCTGGATCATAGACAGTACCGCTGGATCATAGACAGTACTGCTGGATCATAGATAGTACCGCTGGATCATAGACAGCACCGCTGGATCATAGACAGTACCGCTGGATCATAGACAGTACTGCTGGATCATAGACAGTACCGCTGGATCATAGACAGCACTGCTGGATCATAGACAGCACCGCTGGATCATAGACAGTACTGCTGGATCATAGACAGTACCGCTGGATCATAGACAGTACCGCTGGATCATAGACAGCACCGCTGGATCATAGACAGTACCGCTGGATCATAGACAGCACCGCTGGATCATAGACAGTACCGCTGGATCATAGACAGTACCGCTGGATCATAGACAGTACCGCTGGGTCATAGACAGTACCGCTGGATCATAGACAGTACCGCTGGATAATAGACAGTACTGCTGGATCATAGATAGTACCGCTGGGTCATAGACAGTACCGCTGGATCATAGACAGTACCGCTGGTTCATAGACAGTACTGCTGGATCATAGACAGTACCGCTGGATCATAGACAGTACTGCTGGATCATAGATAGTACCGCTGGATCATAGACAGTACTGCTGGATCATAGACAGTACCGCTGGATCATAGACAGTACCGCTGGATCATAGACAGCACCGCTGGATCATAGACAGTACCGCTGGGTCATAGACAGTACCGCTGGATCATAGACAGTACTGCTGGATCATAGACAGTACCGCTGGATCATAGACAGTACTGCTGGATCATAGATAGTACCGCTGGATCATAGACAGTACTGCTGGATCATAGACAGTACCGCTGGATCATAGACAGTACCGCTGGGTCATAGACAGTACCGCTGGATCATAGACAGTACTGCTGGATCATAGACAGTACCGCTGGATCATAGACAGTACTGCTGGATCATAGATAGTACCGCTGGATCATAGACAGTACTGCTGGATCATAGACAGTACCGCTGGATCATAGACAGTACCGCTGGATCATAGACAGCACCGCTGGATCATAGACAGTACCGCTGGATCATAGACAGTACTGCTGGATCATAGACAGTACCGCTGGATCATAGACAGTACCGCTGGATCATAGACAGCACCGCTGGATCATAGACAGCACCGCTGGATCATAGACAGTACCGCTGGATCATAGACAGTACCGCTGGATCATAGACAGCACTGCTGGATCATAGACAGCACTGCTGGATCATAGACAGCACCGCTGGATCATAGACAGTACCGCTGGATCATAGACAGTACTGCTGGATCATAGACAGTACCGCTGGATCATAGACAGCACTGCTGGATCATAGACAGCACCGCTGGATCATAGACAGTACCGCTGGTTCATAGACAGTACCGCTGGATCATAGACAGCACTGCTGGATCATAGACAGCACCGCTGGATCATAGACAGTACCGCTGGATCATAGACAGTACTGCTGGATCATAGACAGTACCGCTGGATCATAGACAGCACTGCTGGATCATAGACAGCACCGCTGGATCATAGACAGTACCGCTGGATCATAGACAGTACCGCTGGATCATAGACAGCACCGCTGGATCATAGACAGTACCGCTGGATCATAGACAGCACCGCTGGTTCATAGACAGTACCGCTGGGTCATAGACAGCACCGCTGGATCATAGACAGTACCGCTGGATCATAGACAGCACCGCTGGTTCATAGACAGTACCGCTGGATCATAGACAGCACCGCTGGATCATAGACAGTACCGTTGGATCATAGACAGCACCGCTGGATCATAGACAGTACCGCTGGTTCATAGACAGTACTGCTGGATCATAGACAGCACCGCTGGATCATAGACAGTACCGCTGGTTCATAGACAGTACCGCTGGATCATAGACAGCACTGCTGGATCATAGACAGCACCGCTGGATCATAGACAGTACCGCTGGATCATAGACAGTACTGCTGGATCATAGACAGTACCGCTGGATCATAGACAGCACTGCTGGATCATAGACAGCACCGCTGGATCATAGACAGTACCGCTGGATCATAGACAGTACCGCTGGATCATAGACAGCACCGCTGGATCATAGACAGTACCGCTGGATCATAGACAGCACCGCTGGTTCATAGACAGTACCGCTGGGTCATAGACAGCACCGCTGGATCATAGACAGTACCGCTGGATCATAGACAGCACCGCTGGTTCATAGACAGTACCGCTGGATCATAGACAGCACCGCTGGATCATAGACAGTACCGTTGGATCATAGACAGCACCGCTGGATCATAGACAGTACCGCTGGTTCATAGACAGTACCGCTGGATCATAGATAGTACCGCTGGATCATAGACAGTACTGCTGGATCATAGACAGTACCGCTGGTTCATAGACAGCACCGCTGGTTCATAGACGGTACCAATGGTTCATAGACGGTACCACTGATTTGTAGACGGTACCGCTGATAAACGGATGGGACCGCTGGTTCAGTGTTGCTGGGCTCTTGTGTTTTCTAGAAACTCTGCACTGGTATCAGAGAAACTATAAAACAGAACATTTTATTGTCGCAGATTTGGGAAACATTTCTGTCTGAAGGGTAAAAAACAAGGAGGCAGAAAAATCTTACAAACTAAACTATGAGAAAATACAACAACATTTAAACAAACAAAACTCTGATTGTGTCAAAAACAGAACTGGACCATTTTTGATGTTTTTATGTTTCACTGTTTGTTTAAATGTTGTCAATATTATGTTTTGCTATTTTAAATGACTATTACTTTCATTTTTAGAGGTACTTTTTAAAAGTCCATCTAGGTTCCAGTGCTGCGAACTATCTGATGCTACTGCGAACTATCTGATGCTACTGCGAACTATCTGATGCTACTGCGACACTATCTGATGCTACTGCGAACTATCTGATGCTACTGCAAACTATCTGATGCTACTGCGAACTATCTGATGCTACTGCGACACTATCTGATGCTACTGCGAACTATCTGATGCTACTGCAAACATGGGCCTGCTGCTCTGTTCAGTGTCTCCCCCTATCAAATAAACATTTCAAGTTAAACTGAACAGCGGGAGAGAAAAAAATCTGAGGCAGAAGATAAAATTCAGTGCAGGTATTAAAAAAAGGGAAACTATGAAAACATTTAACAGTCCTTCCTTCAAATAAATCAATATGCTCCAAACCTTTGTCCTTTTCCAGCCTGATAATAAAGTTTGCCCTGGCAGCTATCAGACTAAACGCTTTAACACGCTGCTGCCATCTGCTGGCAGTAGGTGTTAAAGCATCCATCAACATGGCAGCTGTAACTCATGCTGCGCCTGTGTGAGATCTTTCCTCTAGTTATGGAAAACACACCCAGAGAACTTTGTTCACCAACAAACAGCAAAAACCAAGAATGAAACAGAATATAAATGATAAAGCGTTTTCTGAGGCCGAGGATCATCAGAGAAAGATGCTAACGTCTCTAGATGCCATAAAAGACGTGAAAGCGAATCTCTGATCCAAGCTAAAGGTTTCCATCATTCCTGAAAGTTCAGTCAGGGAGAAATATTAGATAGACTCCCCCTCCTCTCTGCTGCAGGTCGCCTGATTCAGATGATTCAGACTCCTCAGCAGTAGGGATGCTGCTTCCAACACCGCATGCTTCAAACTGGACGATGAGGCAGTGGGCGGAGCTTCCTTTGCATGATGTCACCAATGACGTTTGACACCTGCTTCATTCAGATCAACTCAGCTGACTGCGGCGAGGTGAGAAGCGGAGCTTTGAAGGTTTAGTTCATGTCCCCTTTCTACACGCATTATACGTCAATATCAGCTGGTTTCTGGATATTCAGAGTATTTGGATCATTTCATGGAGCAAAAATCAAGGCAGCGCTACTTAGTGTGTAACTATTTTGATTTTAAGCTACCTAATAAAGAAATGTACATTTAAAGTGTTGAGCTCTGCTACTGAGCAAAAACTACTTTATGCTACTACTACTATCAAAGGTGGGGCCTTCAGGGCCGCTGTCCTGCAGGGTTAACAGGTTTTCCTGTACTTTATAAATAATATAAAGTTTGTTTATATCTGTGTTCATTTACCTTTTTTCTGTTTAAAAGGTTTATGTGAAGGCTAAAGCTTCTCTCACATGGAAATCAAAATTGAAAGTCTGTGTATTTAGTGAAGAAGGAAACTGGGCCTGAAATAATTAATTAGATTTATCCACTATTGACATTATGGTCAACTGTTTCAGTAATCGATTAATCCTTGACTGCCTTATAGAGACTCGAAAACATGCTTTTAGTTGACAGAGCAATAAACCTTTAGCTTTATTTAACCACAGGCGTAAAAATGTAGGTTTTAAGATTTTATTGCCTTTCCGTTCATCAATATGCTCTATCCAGAACTCCTCAGGTGGAAAAGTTTTAGTTTCATTCTAGAAAATATCTCCTTTAAATCTTTTATCAATCGATTAATTGAAAAACTAATTGACAGATTAATTGAATAGCAAAATAATGATTAAAAACCTTGACAGTGTGATGGGATAATTCAGCTCAGACTCTATAGTCAGCTGGTATTGTTTGCTTTGATGAACAACAGGCCGTCTCAGAGCTGCAGGCGGCTCGGTGTCTGGATGAGAGGGGCGGATTTTATCATACTGTTTGTTTTATTGTTCCCTTCTACTGGAGACTTTGGCGCCAACATCTAAAAGCAGCGAACTCTGCTCTCCAGAGCGAGTAGATTGGTAACCCCGCCTCCTGCTCTCCTCTATCTTGTCTGCTGTCATGATTCATGCAGCTATTATTTCATCCAAATGAAAAATGGAGAACAGATAAGCAGATCATGGCTTGTCTACAGTGAAAAGAAGGACTGGGTTATTTACTTTGGCCTTTTTGGAAACACAGGAAGGAGCAATCAGCTAAGTGAGCTTAGTGCTTGGAAAAAATCTTTCATTCCTTTAGAGACAGCATGAAAAGTCAGCTGAGTACAAAACATAGAGAGGAAAACAAGAAGAAAAGGGACAAGAAGAGAGGGACACAACCTAGAACAGATAATGGATGGCTATTCTACTAACATTTCTCTATCTGGATAACAGATCAGTTCAGAGGGCCCCTGTCTGTCTTTGCCTTGGGCCCCACATTTCCTAAATCCGCCCCTGCCTCTCTCTCCCATTTCAACCTGCTGTCCAGCCTTCATCATCTTCCTCATCCTCATCATCCTCATCATCTGCCATGTTATTTCATCCACCACCGATTCTTCTGGGTGTCTCCCTGGAACCGGACCGGAAGTGGCCTTGAATGGTCAGCGGAAGTGATCTGGAGGCCACGCCCTCATTCTCTCCTCTAAATCAAGACTTTTCTTTCTCATCAGAACCAATTGGACCTGCTGGTTCCGCCTGTGGATCTAACTGGACCTATTTCTTCCTGGATCCCGGTCAAATCTGTCCGTCTTACAGCTGTTTTATTTTCAGGGTTCTGTTGGGGAAACCAGTCCCTCCATCAGAACCTTTCAGACCCAGCAGGGTTCAGCCTGACTGCGGTTCTGATCCTGAACAACTGTCCCAGTCAGCAGTTCTGGCTTCTGCTAGGTGCTAACTATGCTAACTCACCTGTAGCGATCACCGGTACCGGAACCAGCTCTCCGGTCCGGTTCTGCCAGCTGTTATCTCCTGTAGGTTCCGGTACCGGTTCTTTAGGTCCGGATGAAGTCGGAACCTCTTCGTTTTGGGTTATTTCCCTTTTCTCAGGCCGGACCTCCGCTTCTTCCTGTTGAGTAGTGAACTACCCTGCCGCGTGTCAACATCCTGCTCTGTGATTGGTCGACTGGCTTCACCGTGATGCAGCGGACCAATGAGATGCTCGGATCCTCAGGCGAGCCGTCCTCACCCCGATGACGTCAAAGAAATGATCTAAGAACAGTTTCATCTGATTTATTTAGAGATTATCCCTGAAGAATAATAATTTCCTGTATAAACTGGCAACTTAATCTACAATAAATCTATTCTCTCACACAGGATTATTTATTTCAATTTTAATCACAGAGGATTATACATCGCTTCTTATTTCTTAAATTAAAGAACAGAGGTGTCAGTAGTGATGAAGCCATGCTGCGTTGATTCTGTCTCACTGAATACTGACACCTGCTGGACATTTAACGACACTACAGGCAGCTGTTTGGACAGAATAAACTGAATTGATTTGATGATCTAGAACAATGATAACATTGAAATTATTGGAGGTTATATTGTATTATTTCATATCTATGTTTAAATTTAAAATATCTTTGATATTTTTAGATGAAGCCAATAAATAAAGTAAACATTTATCATGAGGTGATAATTTAGGGGAAAATGTGAATGAGGATGCTTGTGGACTGGAATTTAAATCATATTACAATAAAAACAGCAAATAAACTGTCAATTTGAAATTAACTTTAATTCAGATAAGCTGAGTTATAACTGAGAGGAAAAGGATGACCAACAAGAAAATAAAAAAAACGGCTGAAACGTTCCTATTCCTTTTAGGCTTTATAATGTTGCATCATTTCAATGACAAACTGCAAAAGATGAGACATTATTTTAGGAGATGCATCATGTTGACAGATAGGATCTTAACCCCAGTTTAGTGAGTCAGTCAGTTAGAAACAGCTCTTGGATCGGTCACATGACTTTCTGGAAACAACACTAGGACTGATACACTGTGTGGCTCTATGGGCTCCAAAAAAGAAAATTAGAATCAATCCACTGGACTTTGTTTCCAACTTTGAAGATGTTTCGCTTCCCTTCCAGGAAGCTTTTTCGATTCAAAATGTGCTTAAAAAACCAAAATGAAAAAGCTTCCTGGATGGGAAGCCAAACGTCTTCAAACTTGGAAACAAAGTCCAGTGGATTAATTTTTATTTTGTTTTTTTTTGAATGACTGCAACCTGGATGACTGACAACCTTCACCAGCATCTATGGGCTCCACACAAGCACCGACCCATCAGTGTTACTGGATCCATCACTATTTATCAGCATCCTTATTCAATTAGAACTAACATTCCAGGATTAAAGTATATGTTTGAAGAAGTTAAAGTTTTAGCTCATGTAGAAGTATCAAAGTTTCAAAACTAATGAAAATGAAAGTAATATAAAGGCGGAAAAGTGCCATGAAGGACAAAAGCTTTTATGTTATATGAAATATTAAGGTTGAATAATTTGGGATAGTCTAGGCAACCTATTTCAAAATGGTTGGATTTATCTACAGTAAAAATATATTAAAGATCCTCTTTATTATATTTACATTGTACATAAATTCTTTGTAAACCCATTTCACCATAAAATAAAAACAAAAAGCTTAACAGGAAGTCATAATTATGAGATTATAGTTACAGTAATAGAAGAGTTTAATATTATTTGTGTGTCTAATTATTTCACTAATTCTCACTAAATGGACACGTCACAGATTCCACTGATACTTTATATCCCCTTAACCTGTCAACATCCACCTGGTATCTGGTCACCGTTATTAAAGTGTTTACAACTAACAACACAGAAAACATGAAAATTCCACTGCTAAAAGTTTTACCACTACAGACACGTTGGACATCATTAGCTTAGATTCTCCACAATTCCCCCACCAAGATCATTTTATGGACACAGCGAGCACCAAAGCACAATTAACACAAATATAGCAGCATGTCAAAATGTAAACATGAAAAGGAGCCATGACAACATCCCTTTGAAGGCGTCCAGAAGCCGTTTTATAAATCCAATCTTCAATTGTTTATACTCCATTCGTCCATAAGGGTCCACAGATTAAAAGTAATCCAGCATATTAGTGATAAAAATATTCCACGGTGAGAAAAATCGCCACATAATATCCTGTTTTTCTACATCAGAAAAGTTAGCTGGTCATAGCTACTAAATAGTTTAACTTTCATTTAGTTCAAAGTTTGTCATTTTTTTCATTTTATGTCCTAAAATGTATCTGAATCAAGGAACCATACGGTCAGTTGAAATGGGTGGTGACCTCAACAGTCAATCATCAGATGAAAGTGGAAAAAAAATGGGAAAATACTTGCCTCATAAATGTTTTGTGGCCATCAAAATGCTTCAGTGTTATTCTATGGGTCAAATAGCAAAGCACAGCATAGAGAAAACATTTGGCACATTTGGAGAGGTTTGGAGATGATGACTCAAAAAGTTAAAAACTCCACAGCTCTGGAACTGTTAAAGCTAAAGGTCAGAAATTGTCTGTGTTTGTGGTTGACATGATGTTGGACAAATGTGATGTAATACATAATGTAATACTCTATATTACTATTCTATTCTCAAGCATGGCCTTATTACTGGTGTTAAAAAAGACCTATTATTTTCGAGAAGAAAAAAACATCAACTTTGAATCATGTTTGAACTGATGCAGTTTAAGCTCTGTTATACTCACACTATCATTAAATATTTTCAGAAACTAGAAGGTGTTAGCTTTCAATTGATGCATCACACATGTAATTTGGCCTTACAGTGCCTCAATTATTTGCTTTTCCATTTGGGTATGTAGAATAGGTGAGAATCACTTGAAATTAGGTGGGTGTTAAGAAATGTCAAGAAAGCAAGAGCATCCCTCAGAGTAAAATGTGATGAACATTTATCAGAATGGAGAATTAAAAACCTCACAGCTAATAAATACATCAGAAATGATGGCCTATATCCCTCCCTGGGCTGCCACGTTATCCTGGTGGAGGGTTTGGTTGGTTAGGGGTGGGGGTTCTGACTGTTATTTGTGCTTATGCGCCAAACAGCAGTTCAGATTACCCCCCCTTTTTGGAGTCTTTAGGGGGGTTCTGGAGAGTGCCCCCCCTAAGGACTCCACCAGGGGCAAGAATGTCCAGCCCCTCTCAAGGAGACCGACAGTGAGACCTGGGGAGGCGTGGCTGGAAGGAATGGCCCACCTGACCTGAACTGGAGTGGTGTTCTGTTGTTGGACGTCTGTGCTCGTCCATAATCAACACCATGTTCTAGCATAAGGGTGTCCATAAGTGCTCTTGGCACCAGGACACCCTAGGCCATAGTTCAATGATCGACTTCGTTGTTGCTTCATCTGACCTGCGGCCGCATGTCTTGGATACTTGGGTGAAGAGAGGGGCGGAGCTCTCAACCGAACACTACCTGGTGGTGAGTTGGCTCCGATGGTGGGGGTGGTGTGCTGCTGACCTTGACTCGGTATGTCTTATGTTGGTGGGCGGAGTTCTTCGAAGACCTCCTTAATCCCACCAACACGTCTTCCATTGAGAAAGCAGAGCCTGGGGGCTCCGGGTCGGGTTCTCCCATCTCTGGTGCTGAGGTCACTGAGGTGATTAAAAAGCTCCTTGGCCCCGGGGGGGTGGATGAGATTCGCCCTGAGTACCTTAAGGCTCTGGATGTTGTGGGGCTGTGTTGGTTCATGCGACTCTGCAACATTACATGGACATCAGGGGCAGTTCCCCTGAATTGGCAGACTGGGGTGGTGATCCCTCTATTTAAAAAAGGGGACTGGAGGGTGTTTTCCCACTATAGAGGAATCAGACTCTTAAGCCTCCCTGGTAAGGTCTATTCCGGGGTTCTAGAAAGGAGGGTCCGTCGGACAGTCGAATCTCGGATTCAGGAGGAGCAGTGTGGTTTTCGTCTTGACAGTGGAACACTGGATCAGCTCTACACCCTCAGCAGGATCCTGGAGGGTGCATTGGAGTTTGCCCAACCAGTCTACATGTGTTTTGTGGATCTGAGGAAGGCATTCGTACGAATGGTGTCACAGCCTGGTCCGCATTGCCGGCAGTAAGCCAGACTTGTTTCCAGTGAGGGTTGGACTCCACCAAGGTTGCCCTTTGTCACCGATTCTGTTTATAACTTTTATGGACAGAATTTCTAGGCGCAGCCAAGGTGTTGAGGGGATGTGTCTTGGTGGTCTTAGGATTGCATATCTGTTATTTGCAGATGATGTGGTTCTGTTGGCTTCATCAGGGCGTGATCTACAGCTCTCACTGGAATCAGAGATACCTTCCAGAACCTGTGTGCCGTCAAAAAGTGCGTGTTTCAGGAGCTGTCTGGTGCTGAATCCTGGAGCCTGTGAGTCAATGCTGTGAAATCGGCTATAAAACTTGGCGGTACCTTAGTTCTTATCTTGTTTATTAACGCATGATTAAAACTTTAAAGGTCTCTAATGTGGTTCCTTATATTCTGAATATTGTTAATTTAGGGACAGTAAAGGTGAAGATGCTGAAAGCTGCCTTCAATGCAAAGGTGATTTTTATTAATGAATCTGTGCTGCATAAATATAAATTAATCAATTTGACTGTGTAATCTGGTGAACTGTAAAGTGCCTTGAGATGACATGTGTTGTAAATTAGCGCTATAGAAATAAACTGAATTGAATTGAAAAGACAAAAAGTATGTGCACCCTCAGCAAAGCATAGAAAAATTTAACTATGAAGACAGAATATCATCATTAAACCCTGATAAATGGAGATACATTACAGAGCAGTCATGGTTTTAAACGTGATTATTAGGCTGTAAAATGATACAGGAAAAAAATCAATGCACATTGCAGTGTACAGATTTCATCAAAGGATATCATAAATGCCTCCTGATCTGAACATTGGAACAGTGGAAACATGTAATAAAGTATTTAGTCTCTCATGACTGTTGACATCTGTGTCCTCAATAATAAATTCTCTGGCCTGCAGCTCTTTAAAAATTCTGTTGTATGTGGAAATCTTATGTGGCCTGGAAAGAAGAATTTAATCTATTTTGGAATCTAGGTAACATTAGTCTATGAAGTGGGAATACAATCTGGGA